TATCAAAAAAGTACTCCAGAGTGTTGTTCAGCATGGGGGTGAGTAGAAAATGAAGGCTAATCATGTTTTGGGTGTACTATTCCTTTAAGTTGCAAATGAACCCAGTCAGAATTGGCACCTCAAATCGTCACATCATTTAAAAGTAATAGTGAAAACCTTACAGCAACAGTGTCCACGGATGTAATGCTGCTCTTACCTCTTCTTATTTTCTACTTCTGTAGGAGAAAAAATCTGTACTGGCACATCACGGCTTTAGACAAAATAAAAATTGAAATTTTGAACGTCCAATTGCTTCATCCGTAAATGAATACATATTAAAAAAAAAATAGTTTTTACAGAAAACAATATTGTTTGGCAGGAAATATTTACAAGTTTTCATGGAAACACAATTATACAGCCATAAATAAGCCAAGGAGTCTTAGAGTCTACATGGGAAAGTGAATTCTTGCACAGTCTTGCAAGGACTGGTCTGACTGATTATCAGACTCTGTCCTTCATCACGCAGTAAAAGCTCGGCTGCCTAGTAGAGGTCATAAAGCAACATCTGCCAGGAGAATCCATGCTTTCTACCTCCTACCATCCCCCCATCTCTACCCTCCAACCCTCCTGTCCAGCTCTGGATTAGAGCTGGCCTAACACCCCCCCATCCTCAACAGCATGCCACTCTGGAAGGATTAAATCCTACAGAAGGCACACTACTGTCATACATTAACCTGCGGTCGCACGCCTTTTGTGCAAAGGACGCCCGTGACAAACGTCAAGCGAGAGTCGAACATGACGGGAGGAATTTATCCTGTTCATGTGCAACATGTATTTGAGAAGAAGTCAAACGAGCCTGGATGCTGAAAGAGAAACGCCTTCGCTGGTTCTGATCCATCAGACAGACACTGACATTGATTGATAAATGGATTCAGGAAGTAGAAACAGTTGTTTGCACCTGTACAGATTTGTTTGTATGTGTGTTGACTGATGGAAGAGGAAGCTATTTATTTTCATTTTACCTCTGTGATGCGTAAAAACCTCTGCTGTTACAATATTTTTCCCAGCAGATTGATGGACGGACATTCACAAGATTTTTATGACATAGACACATGAACATGGCATCTTTCAGCAAACAGCCAAACTGGCATTATGATCAAAGAACTTGCTTTTCTGCGTACAGTATAAGGACAGCTCCTCTAAGCGCAAAACTGCGACTAATCTGTGGCTTTGCCAAGAAGCCATGAATCATTCGACTCGGTGAGACCGAGCTCCCCGTAGACATGGGTGATCTTAAAAACGCAATCTTATCAACACCGACAGCCTCATGCAATGCTTTGTTCCAATAAAATCACATGCATCATTCTGTCAGTTGGAGCTAAAGCAGCAGGAGGAGGAGGGAGGGGAGGAGAGACTGTGTTCTTAGCAGCAGCAACAGTTGGCTGCCTGTCGACTGAGAGGAAAAGAGTTATCTGCCGCGCAGAGACACAACATTCATGCTTGAATCAGACAATTGGAGGTAAAATAAAAAATAAAAAAGGAGGAGGCAGAGGAGATGGAGGAGAGGAAAAGGTTAGAGATAAAACCAGAAAGCCACGAGGCTGGAAGGATGCCTGGCAACTGGTGGCAGACAGAGAAATGCATCAATAAACCAACCTAAAGGGAGGTAAACACACACTGACACAACGCCGCCAGATCAACACTGTCACTCACTGGAGTCGTCCGAGTCGTATCCCTCCACGTCCGGCTCCTCGTCCCTCCTGACGGCCTGCAAGGAGGCGGAGGCTCCGGCGCACGCCCGCTCAGGGCTGTCCTCATTGGGGCGATCACTTTCAGCGGTGGCGGTGGTCGAGGAGGCGGCAGCCGTAGAGGTGGAGAGGGCAGGGCGCAGGGGCCCGACGTTGCCCGCTTGCTGGGGCGCAGCAGGGGGGAGGCCCCGCGGGTAACGGGGGAAGTAGTCAGAGATCTGCTTGATGGGCTGGATGGGACCAGGGCACACGTCAATGGCCATGTGCTCTTGGATGCTGATGGTGGGTTTCTCGCCTTTGCGTTGTGTCATGCATGCGGTCCAGCCCGGAGCTTACTCCCAAAACAAAGAAACTAAAAGCAAATAATGTAGAGTGAGCTGCCCGGAATGCTCCGTCCTCCACCTGCTTTTCTAAAGAAGGTGGCTGTTCTTCTGGGTGGGCAGGTGCAGGTGATGTTGGTCTACATGGAGTTCCTGAGGGTGATGCAGCTGCGTCTCCCAGAGTCTGTCCTCAGACCCAGACCATGCTGTCTGCCAGCCTCTCACATACTACTATCTACCCTCCTGCTCTCTGCTTTTCCTATACCCCCACACTCTGCCCACGTCTGCGCCGCCTATCTGAGAGAGACGGAGCTGAGAGAGACTGCCGAGCATGTGTGTGAGGGAGAGGGAAGGGATTAGAGAGGAAGGAGGGAGGGATCAGCTGATGTCACTGCCTAGCAACCGAGTGGTAAACAGGAACCGTCAGCTGAGGTGCTTAATTATGATATTAACCTCATCCATCTGTCAGTGGGAGGGAACGTCCACAGCCATGCCACATATGCACACGCTGGAATGAATAAGTGCGGTCAGCTGGCTGCCACTGCAATCTACGTTTTTGGGTTTTTTTATCTTATTATGTTGCTTTTTTCATGTGAATCCAAACAGATTGAAAACAGGTTTGAAAAAGTTTCACTTCCAGGAAGATTTTTCAAATCAGAATCTGAGGAATAGTGTTGAGTTTGAGGTTTTATACACAGGGTTCGTACACCTTTTTCCAAAGTCAAAATCAAGCACTTTTCAAGCACTTTCAAGATCCATTTCAAAACTTTTTCCAGCACCTTACACCACCACCAGTTGTCGGCCGGAACCAGTTTTGTGCGGATGACTGCCGGGGTGGGGGGGTGTGTGGATTACTCCTCTGCCATGGCGTAGTAATATAACCAACCAGAGGATGTCGCAATTCAGTATTATCAGCTGTAGAGTTATTAATGCTGTTTTAAGGTCTGGGTCTGGCAATGAATTAAAACTTTGTTATTTTTTCGGGAACGTTGGCGAGGCAGTAGCGTGAGTTTGGCGAGGCTGCGGGAAACACTGCAATACTAACATTACATTATCGCACCGTACTCTCAGTCACTCAGTAACTTAGCCTGTGAATTCCTAGCTAGCAGTTACTAGCGTAAACAAATAGGCGCTAACGTTAACGTGTTCTAGGCTACTTCAGTTGGCTTACTTAAAAAGTCTATGACTTACTCTTCAGACTTTACAAGAGGCAACTCATGGGGTTTGTCCCTGTTTAATCCATAATTAGTATTTTTCATCTTCCAG